GAAACTAAATAAAACTTCATTCATGACAGAAATATGCTTGTGACTAAATTGATCTGTGTGGGAACTCACTAGGGAGCCCCTGTTTTGTAGGTAACAATTATTCCGTGAAAAAATAATTTTTAAAGTGAAACTTCTTAAGGCGCATGAGGGTAAATTGTTTACGGTTGAAACGCAATAATAATAGCAATATTAGAGTCACGAAGATGTGCAGCGTATTTGTCGAAAAAAAGGGAGAGAACGATTGAGACCGATTGAGAGAGAGTGAGATTGATGAATTCGCCCTGAATTACCTTATAGAAGTTCTAATTTTAACATTAAAATTTCGTAAAGAGAATTTATGAAATATTAGTATTTTATATTTTATGTAAACTAATTTATTGAAATCTCAAATGACGAATTGTAAATTAAAATGCCACGTGTTTTTATTATCGAAGAAATAAATTTAAAATTTGTATTAATTTTCGACACTTAATATTTTAATGACAATTAAATTCATTAAATTCCTAACATATCTTCCTTTTCCCCTCCCTATAAGTCTCGGAAATCTAAGGTTTCAGATTTGTATAAATATGAACAAGAGTTAAAAATTAGTTATCCAAAGAAGTTTCACTTGTGACATGTGTACTTTGTACGCACGCACTTTTTTTTAAAGTTAAGGCAGTCCTAGTGTTACACCTAATTAAACGATTATAAGCGTTTATATTTAAATAAGTTTTCGCATTACATAAATCATTTTGCCTAACATTATAGATTTAAATCTGATAAGCAATTTGTATCTGTCGTGTAATTGAATGTCTGAGATCCTTAGTCGGCCGTGCGACTTAAATAGATGACCCGGTTTCGACGGTAGGTATTAAGACACTTGTTTGTCTAAATTTTAAATAAACAGAGGTGGCCTTGATTTTGGCTCGTTGGCAATTTTAGTAAATCTCACTTAGTCATCACCTAGAAAGCACGTCAGGGCTTTTGTTGTATTATTAAAAAAAATTGTTAGTCTTTTCGTAACAATTTATTTATTTCGTAATCCTACAGCTAACATAAATTTTATATAACAAAAAAACTATAATAAATATATAAACAATGATGGAATACATAGTATATACCAAAAGGTTAACACGAAAGGAACAATCCATAAAAATTATTAAATACATTTAATTAAATACCTAATTCGGCTGTGTTGTGTGATGGTGTGTATGTGGGGTGTGCTCATGATGCAGGTGATTTAGCGCTACGATATTTTTAATACTAGCATAAGCATATTCCGCGACTGCTTAACAAGCCAATACTTAAATATTGGTCGTTGTATGTCCTCCAAAACTGCTATACAATTGTTACGAAATTACTAATTAGTTCAAAGATTTATTATATCGATACCTCCTAAGTATACTGAGTCATCTAACAAATTTAGGTATTTTGTTTTTTTTATACAAAAGTACATAATAAACCATGATCTTAATGTTAGTGTTATTTTTTTTTTAAAAGACCTATAATTACCGAGATAATTTCACGTATACTAAATCAATTTCAACATCAGTTAAAATCGTACATTGTATACTGATCCAAATAACATTGTATCAGTGTTCGCGGGGCGTAAGGAGGGACGCATTGATACAAGTTTATTATGGCTCAGTATACGACAAATGACGGCGAGGGCGCGAATTTTTTTTAATTTTCTCAATAATAAGGTGAATAATACTAATGATACAATTAGCAATATCTCAGGAATCGGTGATATAATGCAAAACAGGGCTGAATATGGTAAGTTACATTGATATACTTTATTTATGTTACATATAGTGTGATTTTGCCATTTTTGTTTGATAATTGTTACACGTCGCTTAGTACGCCGTATACTGATACAACTATATTTACACCTGTTTACAACGAACAAACTTTATAAAGAAGACACTTGACTTATCTGGCTATAATAATGTACTAATTAAATTTTTGATATATTTGTTTTAATTGTGGTATAATATATTTTTTTATGTGTTATAAATTTTATATCTTGATATTGGCACGTTAAATATAAAAATATGAATTCTTGTGTTTTTAATTGTTGTTTGTTTTAGAGTCTCCATTGCCACTGGATGCAAATTGCTAATTTATGGAAGATTTATGGAAGATGCAAATTGCAAAAAAAAATTGCAAATTTATGGAAGAGGAGCTATCAATACTTGATGATATTGATTAGAATGATAGCAAGGAAGTATCGCAGAATATCCCTTCTAATGCTTACATATTATTCCTAGATTATATTATTCTTTGCTCTTCGCCTTGGGTATCGATTGTTGATAACTGAACTCAAAAAGGAGATCGATCGCCATCAGTCATAGAGAACACTCCAGGTAATTCGCCCATCCAGAATAGCATTATAGAAAATTATTGTGATATTACTCCAGTACCATCGCCGTATAATTCTTTTGACTCATCTCCTGTTAATTTCTGACATTAATGATATCACATACTCATCGTCCAATAACGCCAAAAGCGCATTTCCATTGCGAAAAAGATAAAGAAAGGCTAAGAGTTTTCATAAAAAATGTATGGATAAGGAGAGGAAATATAAGCTTAATAGAGGATTGGAATATGTCAGTAGAAACGGAAGAGTTCATGCTACGAGAATTATGAAAACTTCTTGCCCCTCAACTTATGGAAAAAATGCAGTGAGAAATTAACAGAATGTTTTGGATTATTGGACCACTCAAGACAATGGGTTTTTTGGCAAGATATGCTGTAAAAGCTGGAAAAAAAGAGAAAAAGTATTGTCGATAAAAAAGGAGTGAAGGAGATAATATTGAGACCACAAAAATATCGGTTTGCAAAACTATGTTCTTGAGAACTCTTTCTATTAGTTTTGATTTTGCTTATACAGCTTTAGAAAAGTCCGATAAAGGTAATGGATTTATTAAATCAGATCAGCGTGGTCTTTGGATGAACATATAATCCATCCGATGACGTTCACAGTGTTATAGATCACGTTGAAGCATTTTCTCCTGTAGAGTCATATTACACTCGCCAAAAATCAAGTAAAAATTATCTAGAAGGCTTTTTATCCTTCCCAAAACTGTTCATGAATCGAATGGTTTATGGACTACCGTGAGACAATATCGAGATATCTATATATAGTTTTTATAAACCCAAAAAAGATTTTTGTGAACAATGTCACATTTATGAAAATAACAAGCAAGTTCTACAGACAGATAAAGAAAAGCATGAAGAGCATTTTAAAAAAAAGAGAAAGCTAGAAAAATTAAAACAAAAGATAAAAAATCAGCGTTACAAAATAATGAAATCCTTACATCAGCATCTGATCTTCAAAAGTGTCTTAATGTATGTACCTCACGAGAGCGTGAGTACTTTTTATTATAAACGGAAACATTATTTGTATAATTTCACGATATTCATTCTGGGATCTCGCCAAGGTGATTGCTTTTGATGGTATCAACAGACAGCAAAGAGAGGTGCAATTGAAATTTCCAACTATCATTTTAAGTTTATAGAAGATACGGGTGGTGAAGGTGTCAATGATTACCGGTTTTAGTCAGACAACTGTGGAGGCCAACATAGAAATAGGATTTATTTCTTAATGTATATGTTAGGTAGTTTAAAGTGTAGTATAGCTATTAGCCATCGCTTTCTAATAGTGGGTCATTCACAAAGTGAAGGCGACAGTATGCACGCTTTAATTGAAAGACGGACAAAGATAAAAAGCTTTATATGCCTGATCAATGATATACAGCTTTTAGATACATACACAGTTATTGAAGTGTCTCAGGATTTAATAAAGGACTTCAAATCAAAGTCAAAACTTATAAACAACTGGACAACTACTAATGATGGATCTATCTATCTATCTAAATAACTCTAATGGAGCAGAAGATAGTGATTCAGACTGATTTTTGATTCGTTCAACCTTTAATATTTTTATTTATTTTGTTTAACCTTATAGAAATTTTTTGAGCGTTAGAATTTCCTAGATTTTTAGATATTTATATTATTCATATCTATTATTTTTATTAATATTGTTTAACGTAAGTTACCATTTTTAGTTTCTATTATTTTTATTGATGTTTGTTACTTTTCAAGAAACTTTCATGATACAAAAACGGGTCGGATACAAAAACTACAAAAACGGGTCCTACTTAGTATAAACGAAAAATACATTGTGATTCTTTAAATGTGTTGTTTTGTTAAATGAGACTACTTCTTCCTAACCTTTATTAATTTCGTGAGGTATTCGAAATACCTAAAATGAGTAATTAAAAAGCCTCGATTAATTATATTAGTCCAGTATACGTTGAGGTTTTAACTACTAACATAGGTAAGTACTTTCCTAGTATAATGAGTCAAGTGATGTAATTTCATCATTTTATTATTAAGTGGGACAAAAAAAATCGAAAATAACCAAAAGTAGTATGATATTAATAAAATGATTATCATATTTCGTAATTTTTTCGAGTAAGTCATGGATTTTCATGTACAACGTACATGAATATAACTGGTAGTTAAACCATTTTACTATTCAGGCCCGCCCGTGTATAATGAGTCATGTACATAAAATATCATTTAAAAACAAAATTCAGCAAAATCATGTTATACCAAAGGAAGAGCTTTCAATCTTTATTAAAAAAACATTTAATTTATTCCGAATTAGTTTGATTTCATTAAAATATAAACAATTTGCCTTAAAATGGCTCTCCTATAAAATTACTAAAATGTCAGTTGACTCAGTATACTTAGGAGGTATCGATATATAATAATTGAAATTAAATTTACATAATCTTGTCTTGAAGTAAAATAGATATTTGGTGTCGACTGATGTAGAGCTTTAAAGCTTCATTACTAAATCGTCACAATAACACGAATATCGGTGAAAAATTGACTTCTGTTTATAATGAAATTGAAAATCTATGATCATAATAAGCATATATGTTTAAAATTTTCATTAAATTAGATTTCTAGTTAATTTTCTTTTGTTTCCTTTCAGATCATCCGAGATGATCCACGTAGATGAAACAGATCCTGTTGGAGGTAAGAATTTTCTTCTTTAATTTTTCTACACTTACCTAAATCATACAACCTCCGATAATACTGTTTTTACTAAAGAACTGAATACTCTTACTTTTGAAAGAGATAGTTAGAGAGATGGTACTTTACTCCGGACCACCGCTCGCAACTATATAAAGCGCAAATTCGGCCACACATGGTACTGTTCTCACCTCTGGGCGGAAGTTCCCCAGTACCAGCTCTTTGACCGTATTCAACGAAGAGCGGATCGAATCGTCGACGACCAGTCACTTGCCGAACGGCTTGATCCCTTGGCATTGCGTAAAGATGTGGGGTCTCTCTGCATCTTCTACTGCATTTACCATGGAGAGTGTTCAGAGGAGTTGTTCGGATTAATACCCGCAGCTGAGTTTCATCATCGGACATCAAGGCAGAATACAAAATACCATCCGTATCACCTCGACGTCCGTCGTTCCACAACTGAGGGTTTCTTAAGGCAGGTTTTGCCGCGCACCACCACTATGTGGAACCAGCTGCCCACTGAAGTATTTCCGAACCAATTCGACTTAGGGTCCTTCAAGAAAAGAAGGTACCAATTCTTAGAAAGCCGGCAACGCACTTGCAAACCTACTGGCAATGTGAGACGTTGAAAGAAATTCGATACAAACACCGGGATTGGTATTGCTATTGGGAGCTACAGATTATCAATGCGGGCGCTAGTTCCCTGTATCCCGATGACTCAATTTCTGATAACCTCATTGACTTGCATTACGATCTGGTCAAGTGCTTTACGAACATTGACAGTGGCTTGGCAGTGGTTCAATTATTCGTGTGGGTGCAATGTGCTCTAACCTTTATGTCGATTGTTTAGTCTGCGCTGGCGCCGGTTAATTTTCATAATTTACTTTATTTAGCCAAATTTACTTTTCATTATAAATACACTTATTTTAACGTTGACGCCAGATTCACATGTTAACTCTGAATCATACTCATTTTCCTTAATGTATTAAACGGGCAGGAGGCTCTCGAGATGTTAAGCGATACCGCTGCCCATAGACACTCCCATTGCCAGGAATTGGACCGATTGGAAAGCACTAAATCTTCTTTCGGTTTAATAAATAATTACTCCTAAATCCTGGGGGGTGAGAATGTAAAACGAAAGATTACGAACACTGTGATTGAACAAACGGACGTAATGTCATGACGTATTATGTCGCGTGTTGGACGTTGACCAAGCACAATCGAACGCACCGTACACAGGTGTACGCAGGCACACTTTAAACTTAACGCCTATTGGTCTTAATGATAAGTTTTGAGTTTCACAAATAACACATCAGTTGTGAATGCATTTCTATAGAACTTCGGTTAAATATTTATGATAACTGTCAACCGTCTTAATTCACACATATCTGTCAACATTCTGTGACCATTTGACAGTTAGATTTGCATTAACTCACCGACATAGATTACTGCGTCTAACTTGAAATTGCGCCGTATTATGATTAGGTAAACAAACTGTTAACCATCTGAATGATTCATTCGCTCTGAATGAACGTTTAATTTTTTTTATCCTGATTAAGTGCTTTTTTACAATTCTAAATGATAGATTTTTATAAATACAAGTACAGAGCTGTTTTGATGTTTGCTACGTTAGAACAGTAATAATAATAATGATATAATTATTTATTTTCTCCAATATAACATTTGAAACAAACAGTACGATTACAATTAAGAAGGTATTGGGAGACTGGTTTCCAAGCTAGGTAAGAACCTGTGATGTGGAGGCTACCATTCCACAGCAAACTTATACTGAGTCATAACAAAAAAGTACATATGAGTAAGCGACAAAATTTAAGGTTTTTAAAAAAGGAAATTAAAAAACTAATCAACTGTCAACTAGATTCCCACAGAAATAGAGTTGTATGGGTGTATGAATGTGTTTCAGAGTGTGTGTATGTGAGTTAGTATTTCGAAGGGGGTGTGTGTGGGTTAGTCATTTGGAATTTAATTAATTTCGATCCAACTTGCCTGGCACTACCACCATGCCGTGGTCCACTAGCAGTGTAGTGGTGAGCCTCATATAATAGGTTCAATCAAAGAATTTTCTCACGGCACTAAGAATCGTAAATGAATGTGTAAACATAAAATATAAATGAAATAAATCAGTGACGCGCAACCTTTTTAGGTCTGGGCCTCAGATTTCTGTATTTTTCATGATCGTTTGTCAATCTAATAGGCAAGAAGGTGATCAGCCTCCTGTGCCTGCGCACGTTGACGACTTTTTGGGTCTGTGGCAAGCCGGTTTACTCACAATGTTCACCTTTCGAGCCAATGTTAAATGCGCACATAGACGGAAAGTCTATTGGTGCACAGCCGTGGATCGAACCTACGACCTCAGGGATGAGAGTCGCACGCTGATTCCACTAGGCCAACACTACTGCCCTGCGATTCTGTAACTCACTTTTCGAACTCACTCAGCGGTTTTCGGATCGCCGGTCGCTCTTAAATCAAAGGTGGAAGCAGTCATTTTATGATTTGGCATTCTGAAAAGGTGGAAGCTTGTAGTTTATTAGAATGCCAAATCATAAAATGACTGCTTCACGACTGATTTCAGAGCGACCACCGATGCGAAAACCGCTGAGTGAGCTCTCATCCCTGAGGTCGTAGGTTCGATCCACGGCTGTGCACCAATGGACTTTGTGAGTGTGAGTTCGAAAAGTGAGTTACAGAATTGCAGGGCTGCAATGTGTCAACAACGATTTAGAAATGTTCCGTCGTATTTTAGTTCGAAGTTTTGTAACTGTGCGTCATTGTGGTCTATCTGTTTTGAAAATGAATGAACCTTATACATAATCGTAGCACGTATTTATACACGGATATGACGCGTATTATTGCAAAATAAAAACTATTTGTAAAGTGCTGGATAAAAGCCAAGTTGTTCGACTTTTCCCTACTTAAAATGACACGACGCCAATATAATTAGGCATGATACGCAATACGCATGTTTCTCGGCAAATATTTTTCAATGTCGCGAGCATGTATTTGTGTTAAGTGTAACTTATATGTCAAGAAAGTATTGAATTCGACAATTTGAATTTTCGTCCTTATGGCCTTAATAATTAAGAAGAATTTAGAAGAAATTTAGAGTCCTAAATGGCTGGCAATTCACTGAGTTTTGTAATACGTAAAGTTTTTAGTGCCACCTGATTATTATGGATAGTATTGTTCTTTTAAATTACTATCAAAGTTTAATTACAATTATACTGAGGCTTTCTTTGAATGGCATTATTTAGTGTATTGAATCGTCAAAGACGTTTAATGTTTAGTACTCGAGAACCAGAGACAAGATACTCTACTTTATTACTTACACCAATACCAATAAAAGACAAAATTCTATTAAAGTTATCTTGATCAACTCCCACGCGTCTGGAATAACTAAATCCCTGAACGTTAAATAAATAAACAAAAGCATTCGGTTTTTGGCAGAAGAACGAATTCCACTATATTTTCGACTCACGCGCCGGTTAGGCACGATGACATTTGACTTGCGATCATTTGTCTTACTACGTGCTACGTGATTTATTCGTATAATTTTTTAATAAATATTTATAATATATAATACCAGGTTGTGAGTTCAATATGGACCTTGGTCTTCCGCCATTTGGTGCACATGTCCCAACCAATTGAGCCTTCAGCCTGTTGTATTTTATGATTTGGACGATGTTGGCGTAGTCAAGGATGTTATAAAGTTCTTGGTTGTAGCGAGTACGCCAAACACCGTCGTCGCAAGATTCTTTGAAGGGTCTTTCGCTCGAAAATAAGCAGAGAAAATTCGTCTTACTAGCTAAGGGTCTAAGGTTTCAGAATTATGAGTGAGCACTGGTCGCAGCAGAGTTTTTTTTGTACAGAACAAGAGAAGAAGAAGAGAGGTCGCAGTCGGAAATATCTACTAAGGCCAAAGTAGCAGCTATTTGCTATCATAATGCGTCTACTGATCTCCCGGCTGGGATTATTGTCACTCATCATTTTAATATATATATATGTATATTTATCAGATATTGCAACGAGTTAAACGAATAAAAAACATTTAAATTAATTACTATCAATTAAATAAATTAAGTGATTATTTGTAATTAACTAATCACTTAACCATGAGAATTTGTAATCTGATATATTTCCCATGACAACCCAGTTCAAATTAGCACTTTCTAAAACGGGTTTTTTCATACACCTTAATTAATTTTTAAATGTCAATTCGCGTGAAAGGTGTACATTAAAGTTCATAGAAAACTGTCATTCTGTCAGGCATAGAAATATCGACTTTCATCTTGTGTCGAGATGTATACTAATACGGATCAAGTGTTTTAAAAAGTTACTTGAGCTGTAATACCTTATAGAACGTTAATATTTAATCCACAATTGATTTGTCTTTATTGGTTGATAAATCATGGATTTTTCCGTTAAAGCAACGACGGCTTTCTTTCCGAGACATTTCAGTTATTATCTTGATAACTATTTAGTGAAATTCAATCCTATTTGTATGGAATTATTTCATAAAGATAATAAAGATGCGAATCCCACTAGAAGTTAAAAAAAACATGGAATTGTACTCAGGTGTTTGAAGCTAAAGAAAAATACCAAATTCTTTATCAATACCGACAGAGCTTCAACTACGAGTATTATACATATATATTATATATATATTTATAAAACTGGCTGGTGCTTTCCTCACTTAACGAATAACTATCGCAATACAGCGAGGTAATGCTGCGAGCGTTAAACTGCCACAGTGACCAAACTTTTTAAATTTGTTTTATTTTTCTTTTTATAAATTTTTAATTATGTATATTATTATTATTAAAAATTGTTAATACTGAATATTTGATTGTTATGTTTAGGTTTTAATAAACGATATAAAAAAGTAGACTAATATAGGTCATTCCAATACTAGATTCCAATATGGTTATTTACATTGTGATAATAACGTAATTGAAAACTCAAAACTACAATAAACCATGGATTCATACAAATATTTATTTTTACAGAAATCGAACCGCCATTTCCATGCCGAGATGTCACAATCAAGAGGAATACAGATGTCAACGACCACTACGACATGCTCTCCGAGATAGGACGGTGAGTTTATCAGCTGACAGCCGTGAAAACACGTTCTCGTCCATATCTCTCTCATGTCTAAGCGTCGTGGTCAGCAAGGAAGCATCTGGAGCGGACTATCTGTTTCCACCTGTTTCTATCCAGCGCCACTCTTATGACAGTGTACGGTTTTGAGGACGATGAGTCTTTCACTTGATTAGGCCATCTGGTTGGTGAACGGCCACGTGATCTTTTGCCTTCGGTGTTACCAACCACGATCAGTTTCTCCAAGTTCTCATCTGCGCATTGTATGGTCGAAATAATAAAATAATATCGCGTCAAATTAAATAAACAGAATATATCCAATCTAAGAAAACATTGTCATTTTTCATATTGATTCGTTTTGATAGGAAGAGTTAATTTAAAAACGAAACAATGTTATGTTGTGTTGACGAATCACAAGCATACGACGTTTCGGTTTTTATAATCTATTACAAAGGGAAATATACAATTTATAGACAGTCTATATATAGGTGCTTATCAAGGATAAGTTCAACAGCCACTGTTTAGTCTACACGAATATTAAAAAGACAAAAGTTTGTTTTTCAGTACTCGTATCTTATCTCGTAAAGTAGTTATTGCGAAAGTTAGAAGCATTGACAGGTATACGCATCTTACATAGTGTTTTTATTATAAGACCTATAAAAATGTAAAATGTGAGTATATGTACCACATAAAAAACAATAAACAATTACGGCGAAGCGACTTATAAACTTTCAGTAGTACATGTAATACTAAGTAAGTAAGTAAGCAGTTGATCAGCCTTCAGTATCTGACCTATCCGTTTTCTCGCAATATTATCCTTCACCTTAGATACATTTATATTATTTATTTAGGATAACTGCGGTGAATTTAATATCGTTTATTCCAATATTTTATTTAAAAATAAATAATTAAATAAGATTCAAGTATGCCAAAGCTATTCTTCGGTTGAAACTTAAACTCACAAAAGCTAAAATGGAAATGGGCCGGTCACTTTGTCCGCGTTTGAGATGACAGATCAGTCAAAACCCTTACCTGGAATGGCCCACTGTGAAGAAAGACCCACCAGAAATCAGGAAAGTTGAAATAAAATTGTTACCGAAGAAATATTAAATAATAGTAGTGAAGATGAGAGACAAATGTAAGAATTTGGAGGCTCTCCGTCGGAAGTCGTAACTAATATTAAGTTGAGTAACATAAACTTAATGTTATTCTTATTATAGTGCTCGGATATATATTTTTATTTTATTTATTTATTGCGTAATCCTATAGCTGACATAAATTATATATAACAAAAGCCATTTATACTGAAGATATAGCCAAATTTACAAAAAGATTCAAACTTTTACCAAATCCATAAAAAAAGTAAAACCTAATTCGAGCAGTGTTCGCCTAGTGGCTTCAGCGTGCGACTCTCATGCCTGAGGTCGTAGGTTCGATCCCCGACTGTGCACCAATGGAATTTCTTATTTAATTTAACATTTAACATTTGCTCGAACGATGAAGTAAAACATCGTGAGGAAACCGACATGTCTTAGACCCAAAAAGTCGACGGCGAGTGTCAGGCACTGGAGGCTGATAACCTACTTGCCTATTAGATTAAAAAAATCAACATGAAACAAATTCAGAAATCTGAGGCCAAGACCTAAAGAGGTTGTAGCGCCACTGATTTATTTTTAATGCCTAATTCGGCTGTGTTGTGTATTGGTGTAACAGTGAGGGTATGTACGTGTGGGATGTGCCCATATTTTTATATTCCAAAGTTCAACAGCCAGCGTTAAGTAGTTTGTTGTCTTTTCCACGCGGCCTAAGTGTAATAAAATATCCTAATCCGGTAATGCAATACCATCTTGTCAAACAGGTTAACTTAGAGCCAGAATGGCTGATATGTAGTACAGCTTAGGTTGGGACAGAAAGCCTATATAAGTATATAAGTTTTATATACGAGTTTCGTTAAAATATCGAATGATTACTGTGTGTTAAGAATAAATTCTAACACAACTGGGCCGATTTCAAGAATCTTTTAACATTATGTTACATTATCACTGCGTAATAAAGGGTTTATTTTAAAATTTGTAAGAGATAAGCGTAGCAAGGAAGTAATTCGGGACTTTGGCGAGATTTTGGGATAGGAAAGGTTCACGTTTTTACTATTAGGAAAACCTAAAAGCCTTTTTTGTATCTTTACTGACAAACTTTATGCTAGACCGTTAGAAAAAATGTAGATAATTCCAATCTATGTCATACATTTGTTGTTTATCATAGACACGATGCAATTGTTTTTGTCTCTAGTGAAATCATAAGAGATGTCGTTCTTTGTAAATTATTTAGCTGTAAAAATTAATTTTCTATGATCACTGTAAAATTATGTAGAAATTGATTTAAAAAATTACCACAATAAAATTTTCCAACAAATCACACAAGTATAACCTATAAGGTCCATTTAGAACTAACATAAGTTCCTTTTTTTTCAGAGGAAAATTCGGTACAGTGTACCTCTGCCGAGAGAAGAGTACGGGACTGGAGCTCGCTGCAAAGCTGGTGTCCGTGAACAGAAGAGATGAGAGGAGAAACGTGGAGCGTGAAGTGGATGTGATGAGGAGACTTCGCCACCCTCGCCTTATTCAGCTGTATGACGCTTATGATTGGGGCAAATATATGTGCGTCGTTTTGGAACTGTGAGTAATTTAAATTATAAATTTATTAAATAATATTACAAAGAGAATGTTGTAAATTCTTTCATATTAAAACTAATGATGCCACGCGTCCGTAATACTCTGCAAATGGTGGGTATAATAAAAAACAAAATTAATCGAAGCAGTTGTTCATGTGATTAACACGTTCAAACAAAGAAACTCTTTTATAGATGTAATTATTAATATTAATACTAACACATTGGTTTTCGGATTCCACATTAAAAAAATCCAGATAAAAAGAAAAAAATATATACAGGGACTCCAAACCTCGCACATGTGCGATAAGATAAGATAGATAATGTACAGATAGGCCATACCGCTGCTTGCTAAACTAATAAACAGACAAATGAAAAACGAAGCAATTGTTTTTTTTTCTGATTGAATCTTATATCACGTTCGTTGCATTACGAGATCTATCAGATCTCTTGCAGGACTTTTGTATTGTGCGTTGAACATAATCGTGTTCTTTCACTCCTTGCGGGAGGATGTAACTTGTAAATTTCTTTAAGGATGAGCAGGACAAATATACATATTTGCTTCGTACTTAAAGCTGAATTCAAGGACTTTAAAAAATTAATTAGAGATGGATTAGGTCCCTAACGCACAGTACTGTAATTGTTTTAATTCCTTGCGTTAGGAGATATGTCGGTACTCGTGAAATCGTACGCCTCGTAGACGCAAGAGATGGAGGATGGGATTTTTAGTGTTGTCCTAGAATCGACATTCGGATAGTCGCGGGCACGTTTTGGAAATAACACTCGCGTATATATCGGCGTGTTGATTATTTTTGATAAACAATGAGTGATTAAGTTTAAAAGAAAAAAGTGTAAAAAATCTATTTTATTGGTGAGGTTTCTAACAAAAAATCAACGCCGGATTATACTGCTGCATCGTCCAGTAAAATATTTGTTTTGGAAAATGTTCAAATTTGCCCCCCATTGACTAATAATGACAGTGATTCTGATTATGAAATATTTAACGATAAACCTTTTTCGTTGGAGCACAGGCAGTTAAACAGCACTGACGCTTCTAAAAAAACTAAACGAATTGTTACCATTTGCGCGTAATGTGCAAGCAATCAATGTGCTTACCATGTTTTAATGAAAAACACTTTGCATAATTAATAAAACTTTTAGAATCGATAACTGAGATATTATTTTATTCCCATCACTACTTACTACACATATTGAACTATCTTCGGGTGCGGTACGAGATACAATCGATATCTAATTCTTTTTTGTTATTTGTAGTTTATTCAAATGTCGTAACTGCATGCGAACCTAGCAAAATATAAAGCAATTAGCTATCTTTCACCCACAAAAATTCAAAATATATGTCATTGTTTTTTTGGAAGATATAAATTATTTTCAAAAGTGTATTTTTAGGAGACTGATTAGGTCTCAAACGCACCAGAGGATAGGCTTGTTACGAGATCTTTTAGGTCTCCAACGCACCAGCTGAAAGTTCTTTAAAAATGATGGCGCAGTGAACGTGTTAAATTTGTGATAAACCCATACCTAATCGATTTTTGAAATCGTTAACATTAAAAACCGATAAGTTATCGCTGCATTTTGATAACGCTATCAACAATCTAAATGTAGTTAACTCAAGGAATTTTGTTTTAGTTCTTGTTAAATCATTTGGGCTTTTTCAATAAGAATAAACAGTTCAATTTAGTATAATTAATATTAATAGTCTTCAAGAAAAGGGCGTTTCAATTCTTAAAAGGCAACGCTCGCCCTCTGGCAATGTCTATGGAGAGTCTATGGGCGGGGCGGTATTACTTAACATCAGATGAGCTTCCTGCCCGTTTGCCCCTTGTTATATATAATTTTTTTTAATAAAATCGATAAATATGTATTTACATACTAAGCTAACTTAAGGGTCTAGATCTCTGAGTTCAAATATAACCTTAAATGAAGAGATTTTCACTACGGGCGTCACGCGGTAGGTTCGATTTGTCTATGTCAAAAATGAATTTGACAAACAGAAGTCGTAACTAGCGCTGTCTTCTGTCCAGGATGGATAGCTGGTGACCAGTTACCACAGGACTTCTATAGTCCAATATAGGCACCTGCCTCTCACAAAGATGCTCACTGCAGCATGTGAAGAGGCATATAAACTTTATTATTATTATTGTGTTAAGGCCTACAAGACAAGATTAAATACACAAGACGATTTACTCTTGCGCAGGCGCATCATCCCAAACTAGAGCCAAGACTTTACATCTATTAAATTACAAATGAGACTATTATAGTCCAGTATTACTCAGCCAATGATGCTTCGGAAAACACCGCAGCCAAGATTCGTTTCCGTCATACAATTATTTCAGAACAATTGAAGCCAAAATAATTGCATAATCGTAATTTAAATTTGTTTTGTTTATTAAAGTACTCGACATCATATCTCTACAACCTTTTTAGGTGTGGCCATCAGATTTCTGAATCAATTGCCTTTATCAATCTAATACGAGGTGAGCAGCCTTGCACAGCCGGGAACGACATCACGGATGAGAGTCGCACGCTGAAACCAAAAACTCGACGGCGTGTCGGGCACAGGAGGCTAATAACGACTAGTTTTTTTAAATATGAATAAATTTTATTTTGATTGTATCCATGGGGTATCATGGTCTTCTGCCCCTTGTACTAAAAATTCGTCGTCCGTCGCCGTCCCTATTTTTGTCTACTAGGCTCATTCTAATATGTATCTTTAATGCCCTTTTAAATTGGTTAAACGCGCTAATATTACGAATTTTAGACTGTAACGTTATAGATTTAACGGTAGCTAATATTACTTTCGGTAACTTTTACACATCGTTAATGTTATATTCATCGCTGAAATGAATTAACAAGTTCTATTTTAAGAAATTCCATTGATGTAGTTAAAATTTATTGTAAATTAATACTGTATAAGCGGATGCTAAGCAAAAAACAAAGGACTGCATATAAGACCTGTCCTTCTAGAAGACAATGGCGTCTCATAACTCGCTATGGCAGTTATAATAAATATGCTACATGAACAAATGGTACCTAATATACTAGTGTTGTCTATAATAAATATACCAGTGTATATAAACGTTATTAATAAATAGTTTCATTGTTATAAATATTGTTATGGAATTTACTATTAAGTTTGTTATGGAAGAGCTGAGAACCTTTGTTATGGAGCCCTGACTAATTATTTTTATATTAAAAGGGTTCCCAAATCTTACACATTAAATTTATGTTTATTTATAAGATCTAAAGCATATAGCGTATTTTTTTCATATTTTATAATGTGTATTTGACCGTCTGTCTAAAAACCCTAAATATTGTTGGAATCATCATGGTTCCGACATCGTTGGTCATCATATCTAAGATTAAAGAAATGTTAATTGATGATCTTGGCGTAGCAGACATTTAAAAGTATAGTGAAGCTTACACATATTTTACTTACTTTTCAAATATGAACGATTTAGTTTTTTAAGTGTTTGATGACGTTTAGAAAAAAGTCGAATATCTGTAAAAAACAGTAAACCTTAAAATATAATAACTGAAATATATATTTAAAAGGAGTCCCTTTAGGCAAAGTAATAATTCAACATGAAACATTATGTCACCATAAAAATATTTTCATAATTAAAACTTAACACTTAATTATTACACCCATCGAACCCAGGACCATTAAATAATTAATTCTTAAAATTAATTGTTATACTATTTATAATTATATTATGATTGAATTGAATTGAATTATTGAATTATTATTCTTAAAATAACATAAAGACCATATATTTCTACTATACCATGCCCCTGCATTATTCTATCCCTTATATGTGCAGCAATTATGTGTGTGGGTGTGTTCCTGAATCACCTGTCTCTATTAACTATCAAGATCATATTTTGCACTAATTGACCAACCTTGATACTTGAACTAGTTTACGCCGAGACTTTGTCTAGAACTTTATAGTACCAGCAATAAAATACCTACTTGTTCCGTGTGGTAAAAGATCGCGTATTAATTAAATTATATAGCCTAGAGGTAGTAGGTTCGATCTCCGGCTGTGCACCAATGGACTTTCTGTCTATGAGCTGATTACATTCCCCCGATCGGTAAAGGAAAATATCGTGAGGAAACCGGCTTGCCTTAGACCCAAAAAGTCGACGGCGAATGTCACAGGAGGCGGATCACCTACTTGCCTATTAGATTGACAAATGATCATGAAACAGACACAGAAATTTGAGGCCCAGACCTAAAAAGCATGTAGCGACATTAATTTATTTTTATTAATTAGTTTAAGGTGACGTGAATTCAACGCGTGTTTATTGTTAGACCTAATTATATAAAGCTATCATATAAGCGTTGCGCTGATTCACCTGCGCAAATCCAAACTAATTCGGTCTTCATTCAGCTATCTCAATCTCTGAGTCACGAACGAACGTACGATGTCGACGTAAAAGGAATTTCAAACAAAAAACAAATGAATGATTCATCAAGGAATCAGGTTAAAGAATCTTGGGCAAGATTCAGTCTCAGCGGTAAGCATGACTCCCCTATGTCAAAATTCAATACGCTTTTGACATGAGTCACACTTAGTGCTTGTAGCGACACCTACAATCTGTGCCTACGAATCAATACGATGACGTCACAAACTGAAACGCGCTAATTAAGTTATTCTCGCCCCAAGCCACAAGGGCCTTCGTGCCAGCGGTTACACTCAAACTAACTTTATTCATATAGGTAAACAAGTACACTTATGAGCGCTAAAAAAAGTTAAATTAATTGTAAATTTAGATTTACTACCAGTTAGCAAGTCAATGGCATAGAGCGGGCCAGAAGAACTGGCAAGAAATTATCCGCCACTCTTTTTAATCGCTAAGTTTTTAGTTATACAAATTGTTTGAACTGGAGCAAATCAATCCCAAGGATTAGGATCATTTAAGTATTCGTCAAATTTATAAAAAGTTTTATTGATTAATTTACGTTTAACGAGGGCTTTAAATTTAT